CACATGACACAGGATATGGCCAGGGTACTCCCTATGGTAGTTTCTGTTAGAAGAGACTGAATAGTTTGGGAAATGGCCAACTGCTACCTGGGGAGAAAAGCTGGGCCACCAAAAACCATTTGGGCATTAGTTCGGACTCCACCGTAACAGAGACCAAAAATGTACCCAAGAAGTTTTCTGATGTGCTCAGGTTAACAAAAATGTCATTTCCAAGGTCAGTTCTGAAAACATTCTCAAAACCCAAATGCTTCACAAGTGCCTTCTAGTGTGTGTGTGTGTGTGTGTGTGTGTGTGTGTGTATCTTGCTAAGCTCAAGTCAAATAAAGCATGGCATTTATGTGAGTTTATTCTTCCAAAATAACATTGAACTTGTTGGTTCTGGATGTTCTCATCAAGCCACAGGATGAAGTTAATGGGGAAGGCTCCCTGCCTGTGGTGATGCCAAGGGTCACCAGGGTCACATGTGGGGAAGCCCACTCACCCGAGTGGGTTTTTGCCTTGTATGTACTACGCACATGTATCACAGGAACTCAGAACACAATTTGTCATGGATTTAAGTTTTCCAGACGTTCTGTGATGCTGACATCTCAAGCCAGCTACGTTGCATGAAACAGAAGCAAACAGCGGGAGGAGGAAGCATCTGGAACATCCTCTCGTTTTTCTCCCAACCAGCAAAGTTGGGCAACCGGCATGGAATTTCAACTGCAATTCAGAGCCTTGGGGTTCAGGTCAGCTAGTTTTCCAAGGGAGGGGAGGGAGTTTGGTGAAACACTTTTCTCATACTCCAATCCTTTGGGCGCTCTGTGTTAAGTTGTGTTCCAGCATCCAGCTTGGATATTCCTGCTGTAACATCAAGGGGAACTTCTGCAAAAAGGCTTGTGCTCATGATTTTCCACTGGACACAGGCAGCCCTGCGGGAATCCTCCTTCCCTGCAAACCAGTACCTAAGATTCCAGCTGGAAATTTCCCTACTAATTCTACCTGAGATCCATACAATTATGTCACTTGCTGCCAAAAGCCCCAACAAAACTAAAATAAAATGTTAATGGCAGCTTAGAGCCAGATTAGTTCCTACCATCATGATAGCATCACTGGTAAAGTGTTGTAATCCCCAAGAGGTTTTCTGATGTGCTCGGGTTAACAAAAATGTCATTTCCACTGTCAGTTCTGAATAGGAGCTGGGATAGAAAAGTAAATCAATGCAATTAGCTCAAAACAACAGGACTGGTTGGTAGCCTATAATGGGCAGCAGGCCCCACAGCTCACTGGTGAAGGTCACTCTACAGGCGGCCCAGGAGTTGTGGAGCTATAGAATTAAGTTTTTTTTGTACCACTATCTTGGCAATTTTAAAATTGCTTACTTGATGCAGTAAAGATTTCCTTACAACAGCCAAAATTCTCAGATGACACAGTGTTGGAACTTCTTGTTTCTGTCTGCAGCCTTCTCACTCTGGGGTGTCAATCCCAAGGCTATGAGAGATGCTTAAAAAGTTTCTATCCCAGGACTGTGCAATGCCAACCACTTGTAGTTGTTTCAGGGCTGCAGTTAGTTTCAGCATTCACCATTCCAGGACTCAGCTGATTTTTTGCAGTTCACTAGCCAAGGAGCCAATCTGGCTAAATAGTGGCCCAAAAGTGAGGTGTGTATCTGCAGACACTTGAAGATCTTTTTTTTCTCCATTTCACCTGCCAGTTTAGGAAGGTCTGATAGCTTTAGTCTGTATTTCTCCCCCCCCCCCACCCCGCCTCCCCCCTATTTCTTGGTAATCCCATGTAATTCAATCTTCCAGTCCTATAACATTCTGTTTTTTCACTGGGAATAATTTTCCCCAGAGTGTTTTCTATCTGTTGTTGTTCACTCTGCAACACCATATTTTGGAGTAAAAATTATGGTAAATCAAGTTATGATTACATAAACAACACTAAGATTTCTGTGCAGGTCAATCCATGCCTGAATATTCTATAGAAGATATTAGAAGTCTGATGCATGAACATTCGTGCAAGAATGGGCCTTCCTTCCCTTGGCTGTGGGAACTGCCATTGCTCAGGCCGGAGCCACCTTTCCTTCCCATGCTGCCCAGAGGCCCAGAGCAGCTGGGTTGGTGCAGTATAGCTACGTCATTGCCATGGCAACAATGCAAGTGTCCCGCCCCACCCCCAGCCACTTGGTGCCTGCATATGCAAATTAACCCTCCATCTTTGTTGGGTTAACTTGCATTCTCATTCCTGATTGGCTGGTGGGCATTGTGAAGGTACGGTCAATTAGCATGTTACTCTTTTATTAGGTAGATAACAACTGAATCTAATAAAACCTCTGCAATGAGAGGAGACAGATGCCTATTTAAAGAGGTAGACTATTTACATATTCGTCTCAATTTTTATTCCAGTAAAACAATGTTTGGGTCAGAAAAAAACTGAAGGACATCCCAGATTTGACATTTCAGACACCAAAAGAAATTAAGTTCCTGAGGGTGGCACTTCCTCCTACTGGAAGCGTAAATGCAAGTATGCAAATGTTCTACTGTTTGTGCCAAAATGATTTTACTCCAGATCTCACTTTTTAAGAAGTTTTAATAAGGATACACTGCAATTAATTGAGCTAAGAATACTTAAAAAATGTCATCATCTGATGTAGCAGCTCACACAGTACTCACAGGAGTGCTGCTTCCAACCCTGTGTTGATGAACACTGAACTCTTAGCACAAGAAGTCAACAGTCTTGCCGCTGAGCACTGAGCACACTCCACACCACCGTGGGGCTCTTGTCTCCCAGGCTTCCACCCAGTGAAGCCTGAAAATATCAGGTGTTTGAGTCCCAGGAATTTAAAATTCTTTAAAGTTCCTCCTTATACCAAATGTTCACACCCAACCAGTAGCAGACCAAGAGGCCTTGTGCTATAAGAGACTGATGCTCTATGTTGGGAATGTTGGGAACCCACTTGGGTGGAAATAGTATGTGTGGGTGACTCGACATCATCGTTGGCCTCATAGATCTTACCTTAATGATGGAAAGGTTCTATCAATTCGTGTCATCCCATAGTCACCTGTGACTACTGGACACTTGAAATGTAGTTAGTGTGACTGATAAGCTGAATCTCTAATTTTAATAAACCTACTTAAACAGGCACAAATGGCTAGTGGTAACCATACTAAGCAGCAATTCTAAAGCACCAAGGCTTTGAATAACATGACCATTTTTTGATGGACAGTATTTTTATGCACCGGAGAGGCATGCAATAAATATTTGGTAGCAACCTGTCATTGATAACCTCTCCCCCTCTAGCTCTTCTCAAGTAAATATAAAAATAAAATAGCAAGAATAAAAAGCCCACATTAGTTTAACACTAATCTCCTTGAATAAAACTAATAATTTTTAAGTTAGAAGTGGCGTAGTCCAAGACAAAAATAAACTGTTGCCAGCAGAACAAAGAATTAGAAATGAGCATACTAGAAGTTATTTATGTTTAATGCTTAAAAGTCTGAATGCACAAACAATCTACCATTATAGAAGTACTGGTGGTCAATACAATGCATTAAAACTATGTACAATGCACAGTTTAGTATCAAAATCTTTCTACACTTTAGGGTTTTACGAAACTGTTAATGACATCAAACACTAAGCACTTAAGACACCAGTTTTTTTCTGCTACCACATTAGGAACGTCAATGGACAGCCCATTTCAACTTGCAGCATCCATCCATTTCTAGTATGAAATTAAGTAATTTTCTACGTATACAATAAAGTTTATCTACACGGTTCTCTTGATTTTGATCCATAGCAGCAAAGGCACTGTACATCAGCAGATCCACAGACTTAGAAGATTTTTAAAGCATTCAAACAAAAAATAATAATAAAAAAAAAGGAGTCACATATCATAGTTTAACAGCAACGACGACAACATAAAAGATAACACAATTGTTTCTGGCACAATGGCACAGCCTGTGTCCATTTCGGGGACATCCAACTAAGACATGGAAAGAAGCGGAGGTAAGGAAATAAGTCCTCATCCCAGGTGAGAGTCCATTCTTCCTGGGGATCAGAGGGAGGTCCTTGCAAATCCTCCTCTGCTGTCCTTGTTTTTTAAAAGACTTGACCTGCACAGCAGGAGGAATCTGTGCAGTTTGTGAACATGCCAAAAAATAGCTCATCTCTCCTAATGACAAAACTGCCCCAAGAGAAACATCTCCCTTTGCAAAGAAATGTGGCAAAAATATTCAGAGGGATCCAGTTCTCTCTTTGAGGCCAAATTTAACTTGTTCATTTGTCTATAATACAATAAAAAAAAAAAGGAATTAAGAACATATTACAAAGACACTTGCCAACAAGTCAAAAAAAAAAAAAAAAGAAGAAAAAAGTCCAATTACTTTTATCGAATATTATCTTAAGCTATAGATATACTGATAAAGTTGTCCAAATAGACTCAAATGAATATATGTGGCCTGTCATGTCCTAATGGTTTAAATTTCCAAACAGCTTGAAAGTCGAAAATAAACCTAACAACACAGCAACATATTGCTTCAATATGTAATTATACATTTCACATCTCTATACAGTCATTAGTCTACATTTAGTGACATTTTTAATCAATTATTTTAAACCTTCCATTCCCCTCCTTTGCCAAAAAAAGGGGGGAGGGGTACCAAATACAACGCATCTTCATTATCAATGCAGAAGCAGACAGCTTTATTTAGTCAGTCATTGTTAGAAAGCCTTCTTTAAACAAAATAAATATATTACAGATATAATACATAAAGTTTCCGTTCACTGTTAAGTATGATTATTCCATGTTCTTCCAAGTAGAGAGCTGAAGATTTGGTATCACAGGTTCTTAATGACTATTCACAATTCCATAGCAAGGAGGAGGGGGAAGGATGGGGGCTCGACTCCACTACTGCGATGAGTATTTGAAATCCTTGGTTTTAGATAGGGCGGGGCCCAGAGGGGCTGACAGAACAAAGTGCTACAAGGAGAAGGAGTCTAGTCTGCATGGAGATTTGTCCTTAATAAATAACTTCGTAAACCGTGGCTTTCTTATCCCCAGAGCCAGTGACAATGTATTTGTCATCCACAGAGATGTCACAGCTGAGCACCGATGAGGATTCTTTGGACTGGGAAAGAAACATAAAAATAAAATGATTAAATACAAAGGAGAAGTCCATTAGTACTGTGAGGCAGGACTGGAGAACTTAGAGCAAAAAGAAGCATAGTGCGTTCCGCTGCCCAAAGAGGAGCCGAAGCAGGAAGGGCAGTCATGTGCTTCCTTAACGCAGCGGAGCCAGGCGCCCTCCGGGGACACTTCACCTGTTAGTCTGCAGGCTCTTGCCCCAGGTACATGAGATGCCAGGCAAGTTACCTGAGGAAGCCAGGCCCTATTTCAAATTCTGTTCTCCAGACAGGTCAGAGCAGACTTAGTATGAAAACCCTCAGCTTCACTCCTTTGACTTGGATTCAGGTGGAGCTACAACCATAAGACTTGTCATTTAACCTGCCTGAGCCTCACAATTTCTGTCCACTTGTTTATATCTTCTTCTATTTTTTTTTTCAATGTCCTATAGTTTTCTGAGTACAGGTGTTTTGCCTCATTGGTTAATTTATTCCTAAGTATCTTACTTTTTTTGTTGCAATGATAAATGGGATTGTTTAGTTTCTCTTTCTGAGAATTCATTATTGGTGTATAAAAAAGCCATCGATTTTGGGGTGTTGATTTTGTATCCTGCTACATTGCTAAATTCATTTATTAAATCTAGTTTTTTGGTAGAGTCTTTAGGGTTTTCTATGTTCAATATCATGCCATCTGAGAATAATGAGTTTTACTTCCTCCTTTGCAATTTGGATGCTTTTTATTTCTTTTTGTCTGATCGCTGTGGCTAGGACTTCCAGTACTATGTTGAATATGAGTGGTAAAAGTGGACATCCCTGTCTTGTTCCTGTTCTTAGGGAAAATGCTTTTAATTTTTGCCCATTGAGTATGATATTGGCTGTAGGTTTGTCATATATGACCTTTATCATGTTGAGATATGCTCCATCTATTCCCACTTTGCTGACAGTTTTCATCAAAAATGAGTGGTGGACTTTGTCGAATGCTTTTTCTGCATCTATTGATACAATCATGTGATTTTTGTCTTTCAATTTGTTTATGTGATGTATAACATTTATTGATTTGAGAATATTGTACCAGCCTTGCATCCCTGGAATAAATCACACTTGGTCATGATGTTTCCTAATAAAGGCACACAGGTGAAGGCATCTTACTTGTCCTGCCCTCTCTTAGAGAATTGCTATAGTGTTCAAGTAAGGTAATACATGGGCTAAGGCAATGAAAACATTGGAATTAGCCAAAGAACATGTATGTAAAACCCATGGACACAAACAACAGTGATGATGGCCAGAGAAGACGGCAGAGGTAGGGTAGAGGTGGGCAAAGAAGGGGGAAATGGGGATATCTGTAATAGTGTTAACAATAAGCGCATAAAATTAAGACAAAACACTACATTTTTTAATGGGGAATGTAAAAATATTTCTAATTTTCCCCTGTGAAAAACTGGAAAAACAATTAGCAAGGATGGAGGGGGTCAATAGTTAGAAAGAAAAATGTATCACACTTTGAGCTCTTGGATAACTTGTTCAATTGTACTAACTACAAAGGGGTTAATGTTAACTTTTAACTGAACTGTGCTAACAAATGATCAAATAAGCAAACAAAAATACCCTCAGGATTTTAACTAGGACTTTGAATACTTAAAAAAACAAATGTTTGACATGCAGCTGCTAACCCACTACTAGTGTTTCTCAAACTTTTTAAAACTTTTTTTTTTCTTTTTAAACTGATTTTAGGGAAAGAGGAAGGAAAGGAAGAAGGAAAGGAGAGAGAAACATCAATGTGAGAGAGAAACATTGATCAGTGGCCTCATGTATGTGGTCTGAACCCCCTACTTAGGTGTATGCCCTGACTGGGAATCAAATCAAATCCTTTCTGTACACAGGATGATGCTCCAGTGTACTGAACCACCCAGCTGGGGCCCTCAAATTTTTTTGATCGCGACCTGAATAAATACATTTTACTCCACAACTCAGTACACACATAAGATATATATGTATACTTGCTACAAAACATGCACTCTAATATTGTTGTTACTTTTTAAAGGTCTAGTTGGGACCATATAAAAGGCCTAGTTGTGACCCACAATACAAAACACCTGCCACTGTATTAGATTATAAACTTATGACAGCAATTTTTCTTCTATTGATTATTTTGCATAGTATTTTCACTCAATCTATGTATTTTTTGATTCACTTATAATCTAGGAAGACTTAATATCACCAGGTCAAAAAAGTTGCAAATCTGTTATATTATTCCTATTAAAAAAAAAACTAAAAAAAAAAAACACAAAAAACAAAAAAAAACATCCTATGTAAATAAGGTTAAAAAGAGAATCTTCTTTAACTTGCCTATAAAATTCTCCATACCAATAAGAGAGTGAGGAGATTTTGTATGTGTATCATGTCAAAATTTAGTTCTCTTACAAGTAATTTCACAAACTACAAAAAGTACCACTAAATCAGTAAGAATAAAAGTTTATAAAATTAATCAAGATTTATTGAATTTTTTCCCATAACACTCTTTTTTTTGGGGGGAGGGGATTCAAAGAAAGAGCAAGAATAATAGTAATCAGCAAAATGCTAAATTATTAAACAAAAACTTTAAGTAAACCATGAAAACAAATAAGAATTAGAGAAACAAAAACCGTCCATGATAGAGACTAAAGGGGTTGAGGCATAAAGAGCTGGCCGTGCAGCAGGCAGAGGCAGAGCACCTAGGCTCTGGGCACAGAGAGAACCGGAGAGGCTCCCGGCGGCTGCACAGCTTGTGGCTGTGACACTAGTCTCCCCAGGCACAGTCTTCTTGCTCTGTGCAATGGGAATCACACTTGCTCCTACTTCCTAGGATACTACCTGCCCATTACTCATCTGCAAGGACGCTCAGAAAGAGCTTGTTAAACTACTCCCATGCAGTGAGCACAAGGCAAGTGAAGGCTAAACCAGTTGTTACCTGGAATATACTGGCTCCATACGGTGTTCTCCAGGCGTTGAGAAGGTTGTCCTTTCCCGTGCTCACAAACCATTTGCCTACAGGAAGAGGATTTTGAAAAAAGCAGTGTTCGTGATACTTTCTCAGACACTGAGACCTGCTTAACAGAGCTTCAAGCTATTTATTCATAGGAAACTCGTCTAATTTGCAACAAGCAATAGTTGTTTTCACTGAAAATTATAGCTCCTATATTCGTCGATTATACTATGACAAGGACAAAGTGGTTGAAAGCCAGAAAACTGCATGGCATTGGGGAAGTAGGCATGTATAATGAAGTGGTAGTTTTGAGGGACATGTTAATGAACTGCAGAGCCTGACTTAAAAAGCGTCAGCAGGAGGTCAGAAGGCAGGATTCTGGCTGACAGAAGAGGACAGAGGGCTTGCTTACCACAGTGGGCAAACTTGAGTGACAGCACACAGCTCTCGTGCAGATGGAGCTGATACTTGTCTGGCTTGGTAACATGGAGCACTTCCACGTTACTGTTCTCCATCCCCACTGCGAGCCACTCTCCAGTTGGGCAATAGCCCAGAGAAAATATCTAGAATTAAAACAGGTGACAGTTATAATGGCTAGAGGACACACTTCCTTTAACTGGGAGGCACTGTTTCTTCTGAGGATACGTCTTAAATTATAAAGGAAATCAAGATTATTTACATTGTACAGGGCAAAAAAAAAAAAATCAAAACCAAAGAAGTGATCCCAAATCAATGAGACAGATCTCCACAAATATAATTTAGTAATAAATAATGTACAATTCAAAAAAATAGAGTAATGGACTTTGAAATAAAAACATGCTAAAAGCTTATAATAAAAGAGATTTATTAACCCTTCAATAGAATATAAACTGTTTTATGTTGATAGAAAACAATGGAATTTTCAGCTAGCTAATCCAGAGTCAAAAGTGACTTTGTCTCACCATAAAGGAAACCCACTTCTTAAGCATGTCACATATTTCACAAAACCAAGGCTTCTGAAATGTTATGGCGCAAGACCGCACCTGTGAGGTGAAGTCGTGCTGCTGCAGCTGCCGCCCTTCGCGCAGGTCCCAGGATCTGACCGTGTTGTCCAGGCCGCCCGTCCAGAGCTTGGTGCCATCGTTAGAAATGTCAATACAGCTGGCCCCGTCTGTGTGGCCCTGGAACTGCCTAAAAATGTCAAAATGAAGAAAAAAATTCTTGAAAAGTTAGTTTTTAGGTGAACTGGCTTTAGAATGCCTCAGCAATCAATTTCATTGCAGGTCTTATTTGTGGATTTCATTATGTTTTCTGTTTATTCTTAGTAATGACAAAGCACATATGTAAGAGAGATTAACGTTACTGTAAATTGAAAGGTTGTATTTTTATTTATCTTTAAACACTTAGGAAATACTTGAAGTTACTGTTAAATAATAACTGATAGGACAAAAACTCCAACTGAATTAAACAATTAAAAACACACTGTGGCATATGTATGGAGGATGTAAGCCATAGTTGAGGCCTATCCTCCCACTGAGATGAGAGGGAAGGAGAAAATGCAAGAGGGAAGAGGGAATATCTCCCTTCTACAGACTATGGGGAAGGGCGCAAGGATAAGGAATTCTTCCAGGTGCAAGTGCAGGTGGCTGTGCTCTCAGGTTAAGTAAGGCACACGAAAGAAACTCGAGGTGACTCAGCTGCCGCAGGAGCTGGTACACTGTCAGACACTGGGGGAAGGAGGGACTATTAGCAGTTCCTCTTAAGAGCCTTACCCAAAGGGAACACAGTAATGACTATTTTGTTACTGGAATCATACACAGAGCTTCGTCCTGCCACATATCTTACAACAGACAGCAGAAGCTTCTTCTCCTGCACATGCCCCCGACTTGTAGCTAGGCTTGATTACAACTTTCCCACACCTCTTGCTTCCTGCTCTCTCTGGTGCTGACATGTGGAGACTTGTTTCACGGCCTTACAAATCAACACCACTTTCTACAATCTCATTTCTAAACAGACATCTTAGTTATGTCTATCCACCCTTAAAGGTGGGACTACAGATAATCCAGACTTTTCAGGGTGAACAGAACCAAACGCATGCCTGGCTCATGGCAGGTACTCAACAGTCACTTGCTGAGAACGACCATATCAGATGCATATTACACCAAAAGCACCACACAATGTGAGTCTTCTCAGAGAGCGTCTATCGACAATGGTATTAGTTAGCAAGCACAGATGGCAAATTATGATGTTTAATGAGCTCATGAGGTCATGAGAACCTTATGTATATTACTTATGTAAAAGTGACCTCATTTTTTAAATACCTGAATTGACACCACTTAGTATAATGTCAAAAAGGAAAAAAGGAATAAAGAAGGCAACCCCATTCATTTAATAAAGTTTATGGCAGAAAAAAAAGCTTTTATATTAATAATGTTCCTAGCATCTTAAAATGGGCCCATTTATAACAATTTTTAGTAAGACAGTTCTATTTCCTCTTTTAGGCAGACAGACACGCATGCAGATCTCGGGTATAATGTTGTACAACAGCTCCTCCTCCTTCCCTGGTGAGGAATCCTGATTACCCACCTCACCAGCGTCTGGTTGTGCAGGTCCCACACGGCGATGTTGCCGTCGCTGCAGCAGGAGAAGCAGACCTTGGAGTCGGGGCTGATGGCCAGGGCGTAGCAGGCGGGGGCTGAGGACGTCAGCTCCGCCTTGATGCGAGGGGTTGGCGCGGCCAGGTCCCAGATGGACAGAGTGCTGGCTTCTCCTCCCACAATTAGGGTGCGACCATCAGGGAGCAATCGGCAGGAACGGATGTAGTTATCCCTGTTCTATAGAGACAAAAACCATCAAGAGATTAGTCATGAGGAAAGGAAAACAGCATTAACACAAGAGCAGAAATCCATAAAGTATTGTGTTCCCTCCTGGTTTTAATGAGCCATTTTTACTTATGACAATGATAAAGTGGATTAATGCTAGAAAATTACAGGAAATTAGAGAAGTACTTAAACTTGATCTACAAAATTTAGCACCGAGATATTTAATCTTAATTAGCATATAAATGCAAAGATCTAGACCTACTCCCACCACCACCAAATCAACCAGCTGCCTGAGTCATTTGCACACACAGGCGCGCATGCTCATTAGTGCAGCGACCCTCGCAGCCCTGAAGCAGCTATGCTTGGGGACCGGGAACACTTGACCTGGCAGGGGAGAGGACCCACCACTGCTGCCAAACTGCCAGGCTGCTGAGGAGACCTAACAGTCTCCTCCTTCCACCTGGCCCTGCATTACCTGGCTAAAGGCTTCGTGGGTTTGAATGATTAAGCAGCATCAGGTGGAGGCAAAATATGATTAAGGAGCATTTAACGACAGAAAAAAAACACTTTCTTCTTAGTTCATGAGGTCACAGGAATCTTGTGTAAGTCAATTATGTTAAACTGACATAGCATCGTACCATAGATAAAATCTGATGCTGGTCTAAGGAAGAAAATCAAACTAAAATTTCCTTGAAAACTCAAGGACAAATACGAAACAGCCAAGAGGGTCTGCAGTGTTGGTCAAAGGATATATTAAATTACTCTTGTTTCGCAATGTGACGAATTAGGACAGCTAGGTGCACTCTCCCAGAAACCATGTGGGCTCTTTCTTACACCCCTTTACCAGACAGAAAAGCAAGTGTTTACAGGCTCCTAGGCACTGCACCAGCTGATGACAGCTATCCTGGCGCAGTGTCACATGAACAACTGGATAATTCCGCCTTAAGGAATTGAAAGAAGACATGCATCCTCGCCAGCACTTTAGATCTTCACATGAAAGACTACAAACCACTGAAAACAACTGCCCATTTGGGATCAACACCGTGTGTGGCTCACACACCCTGGTCTCTCACCGTCCCACACTGTTTTCTGAGTGGAGGTCTAAAGCCATATGCATCATGCTCACTCACCAGACAGTCAAGCTGAGAGACGGGGCTCTTATTGCCGGGGTGGCTGATGTCCCAGACTTTGACGCAGCCCTTCCCACCCGTGTACACGTGTCTGGTGGGGTTGCTGATGGTCACTGCGCACACCACCTCCCCGTGGTTCAGGGTGTTGATCTGGCGAGCGTGTCGGGGGATGCCGGGTCCGATGAGGGCGTCGGGGGGGAAAGGGACAGGCTGCATCTGCCCATCTGCCGTCACATGAAAGGAGTATGCTCTAAAGCAGCGGAGGGGAGAAAAGACAGAAAGAAAGGAATGTAAAAGGTGGTACTTAACTGATCAGTGCAATGAGATGAAACATTCTCAGCGCTACTTATAATGTGCAAACAAGTCAAAGTTACCTAGTACAGTGGAAAGAATATAATTTTCAGTCACAGCTAGAACTATAATCACTTCTCAGGTCAACTTTTTACTAGCCGCTATATGACTTCAGTAGTCACTTAGGGCATTGCCTTCCACTCTGGATAATTTAGAAACCTGTGATGAGATTTTGCCTGTAGATCATTTCACACCAATCAAGACTTACTGATTGAAGATCAATCAGCCAAAACAATAAAGCTTAAGAAGGATCCAGACCTACTTGGTGAGATGGCAAATGTGCTGGGAAAAAAAAAAAAAAAGAGAGAGGGGGGGGGAGGGGGGGAAAGAAAGGGAGAAAGAGAGAAAGAAAGAGAGAAAGAAAGAGAGAAAGAAAGAATGAACGAACAAAAGAAAGAGAGAAAGAAAGAAAGAAAGAAAGAAAGAAAGAAAGAAAGAAAGAAAGAAAGAAAGAAAGAAAGAAAGAAAAGAAAAGAAAAGAAAAGAAAGAAAGTCAGTCAGTCCTATAGGAATTGAACAACAAATCCCAGTAATTCTAAATGGAATTAGAATCTGAAAGTGTCCAGTGTGACTGCCCGCAGGCTCCATCTCCAGTAAAATACCTGGTTCGCAATGTAACTTAAGTTAGAGCTTCTCCCTCACAGACCTCTCTATTCTGAGGGCACTGAAGTTAGCAGGGATAAGAGTGGGCTGTTATGCCTCAGAAGGCAGGAGGTGTGGCGGGGGTGGGGGTGGGCATGAGCTTGGGGCTGGGCCAGTCTTGGGGGCATAGAGCCCATTTGAAATGATGCCATTCTGCTTTGCATGGAGCTTCAGAATGTGCTGTTTATGGAAGAAGTTGACCAAAGTCATACCAAGGGAAAGCATCTGTGGGTACACAAAGGACAAGCACTTGGAGCAACTGTAGAGAAAATCTAAATCAAATTAAAACAGTTTATGGTTCCTTAATGCAAAAATCTATAGGACAGCCACATTCATCAAAAGTCACCCCATCACTGAGGGGCCCATGAGGATGAAGCAAGTACGTGGCTATGGAAGATGTGGGTGCCAGAAAGAGAGGAAAGCTTTCTGTCCCTGCAGACCTCAAAACTGTTAATAGAAGAAAAGCGGCATGTTAGACTTGCTAAAGGGAAGAAAGGGGGAAGCTAGGAACACAAAAGATGCAAGGTATTTCTTTGGTCAAATCAATAGAACTTGGAGAGACCGTGGATGTGTGACCTGACACAGAGAGGTACTGAGGTGGACTCAGGCTTGAAGCCCAGGTGACTAGGTAGAACACAGTACATTAGAAGGTTTGGTTTTCTTCAACTTGAGGGCCTAGGGGAACCTAAACAACTCAACCAGAAGTTGAGCACTATTGATTCAAGAGAGAAGTCAGGCTAAAAGGTCAGTCTGGTCATTCACAAAGAAGTGATAGTGAAGCCAAGGAGCAGAAAGAATAATCCTTGAGCAGAATATGTCATGAGCAGAACAGATGCAGAATCTAAGAGCAGGTTACTTTTAAGGAATCTACAACAAGAACAATCAGGGAGGCAGATAATCCGGAGAGAAGATGCATGGAAAGAAAGGAGAAGATGGTTCATTATATGACTACCAAGAGATTCATTCATTCAACACACATTTCCTGGGTTCTCAGAGTGCCAAGCACTATGCTAACAGGGCTGGGGATACAACAGAAAGAACCCACATACCCTTGTTCTCCTGAAGTTACAGTCTGGGGGTGGGTGGCAGCAGGTGGGTACAACAGCAACTTATTAGTGAGAGGTTCACATAAGTAAGTATTAAAATGTCAGATGGTCAATGCTGTGAACAGTGCTCATACCACAGGGTGAGAGGACAGGGATATGGCAATGGGGCAGCAATCTAGGAATGGATGTTAACTTCCCCAGCAAGGGTAGTATGAGGAGAAAGAGCATGGAAAACTGAAGAGTAGAGTGAGATACAATGCTTATCATTTAGTCAGAGAAAATTTATTAAATGCCTCAGGAGCCCAATTCTATCAGGTGCTGGGGAATCAGAGTGAATACGACAGTCAAAGCCCCTATCCACCAGAGCCTACATCCCAGAAGGGAAAACAGAGATCAGCAGAAAAATAACCTCAATGTGGTTAACCTCTCCCTCCCTCCCTCCCTCCCTCCCTCCCTCCCTCCCTCCCTCCCTCCCTCCCTCCCTCTCTCTCCCTTCCTCCCTCCCTCCCTCCCTCTCTCTCTCCCTCCCCCGCCCCCCCCCTCTCTCTCTTTCTCTCTCTCTCTCTCTCTCTCTCTCTCTCTCTCTCTCTCTCTCTCACACACACACACACACACACACACACACACACTTCTATTTTCAGATAAAAGACTAAAGATGCAAGGAGAGGTCTGAGGTGTTTGAATGAGATCAGAAAGAAGGACACAGGCCTTGCAAATGTGAAGGGGAATGTTATGGAAGAGAAGCAGCAAATACAAAGTCCTTAAAGCAGAACCAAGCGAGAAGGCTAGGCCCAGTGGAAAAGGACAAGATGAAGAGAGGCAGGGCCATGTTCACAAAGGCTTTATTAGGTTGTCATGAGGATTGTGGACGTTATTCAGAGCAGAATGGGAAGTCACTGAAGATTTTGTACACAGGAGTGACAGGATTCAGTTAACATTTTAAAGGATTGTTCTGATTGCTGGGTGAAGAGTGAAATGTTGGTGGCAGGATAAAAAAAGGAAAAGTAGCCAGGGACTAGTGCTGTCATCTAGGGAGAAGCAGCAGCTAGGGCTTGGGAGACTGTGAGAAAGCTGGGAATAAATTTGCAATTCAAAAATTACTCTGGCTGGATGAAGGTAGAGGAAGCTGTGTTGTATGGGGCATTTGAATTCTGAAGGTGACCCAGTGAGGGGTGATGACAAGGTCTTCTTTGTGAGTGTGTGAGTAGGTAACAAAAGTTTAAAAAGGCAGAAACTCACTGGAGGTGACCTGGTCCAAGACACAAGATGCAGTTTCTGTGGGACTGACATTGTGAATGAATACCATGTCTCCCAGGATGATGGTGGACACTGCTGGAGGGAGACCTTAAGCCAGTGCCAAGACCTTAATAAATGGACTCTACCTGCTTTTCCACATGGTGGAAAAGCAGGTAGAGTCCAAGGGCATGAGCCTGAAAGATACAGGGTTTTCACAAAAAAGGTAAAAGAGTTCGATTCTAGAAGAGACCAGAGCAGCCAGTGGGGATGGTGGACAATGACAACACAGCCTTTATCACCCCACCATGGCCCTGAGGATTGTGGGTATGAAACAGGGCTGCAGTGGAGGGCCCCTCAGGAGAGAGCCAGGTGTAGGCTCAGGCAAGGAGAAGATGCCTCTTGATGCCTGTAGAGAAAGGCTGAGATTCTGAGAGATGATGACCGAGAAAAAGGCTAATTGATTTAGCAATTAAGAGGTCATGAAGACTAAATCTTAAAGACAAGGAAAGAAAGGTTATTCCAAGTTTAGATGGTGTTATACATTCTTAATGATAATTTGCTTGAAAAGACATCCCTTCTCTCCTCTTTAGAATCACTAAGTGGTTTTTAAAGAGCTTTGAGAATTTAAATAGTTAAGAAACCAGACATACAATTTCTTTGGAGGTTTTCAATAGGAGAAGTCTTCAATTTAACCACAACCACTCTGTGAACACCTATGATGGTCCTGGAACTCTCTTATTAAGAATTTCAAAAGTCTATTTGCATTAAGGACATAATGTGGTCCTCTGCTGCAAGTTTGTGTGAGATACTTAAGATTGAAAAGAAAATAAAGCTCTAATACATACTATGTATCAGGTTTCAACAACTCTTTGATATGTACAATGCAATAAATACTGGCATGAGTACTAAAAGCCAAACTTTCTAGATATCAGAACTACCCAAGCTTGAAGAACTATTCTTTTTCTATCTAATTAGTTGCATCAGAAAGCACACTCCAAGCCATATACTCTGATATGTCATGCTAAGATTACAAAATCAGGCAGGACACTGGCCTTATCCACAAATGGTGTATCATCTAGGAAGTGTGAGAGGGTGTAGGGATCCAGAGAAATACTAGGTGTACCAGTTAATAATGCAGATTTTCTTCAATAGAGAGAGTTACACATATGTTGAAATAAATGCGATTTGATATGTATTCTATTTTATTGTATTGACAGCAAGCTTCAAAATTTCATATGTCAAATTTGTTGAAGGTGTTAACATCATAGATATTTTTACACTTAAAAATGTTGAATTTCGTGCCAATAAAAAGAGCAATTGCAGGAAGTTTTAATACATTAATTTTGAAGAAAAGTTATCGTTTACTTTGGGAAGCTTATGGTGAACATGCTCCATCTCAAGATACTTGTGAACACTGGTTTAAACACTTTAAAAGTGATGATTTCACCCTTACCGGTTTGTCTCAGTGGATAAAGCGTCAGCCTGCGGACACAAGGGACCTAGGTTCGATTCTGGTTAAGGGCATGTACCTTGGTTGTGGGCATATACCCAGTAGGGAGTGTACAGGAGGCAGCTTATCTATGTTTCTAACTCTCTATCCTTCTCCCTTCCTCTCTGCAAAAAATCAATAAAATACTTTTTTTTTTTTTTTAAAGTGATGATTTCCATGTAAAAGACAAAGAACATTTAGGTCAACTAAAAAAAAATTGAAAATCAACAATTACAAGGATTATTGGATGAAGATGCATGTCAAACTCAAAAATAACTTACAGAAAGATTAAATGTTGCTCAGCAAACAATTTCCGATCATTTACAAGCAATGGGAAAGATATTAAAGGAAGGAAAATGGGCGCCACATCAACTGAATGAAAGACAAATGGAAAACCGAAAAGTCATCAGTAAAATGTTATTTCAACAGCATGAAAGTCTTTTTTGCATCGAATTGTGTCTGGCGATGAAAAGTGGATTTATTTTG